GTAGTTGTCGGTCGTATAAAGTGTGAGGGCCGGTTCCATCAGCTGCCAGCACCCGAGTACGTGCAGTCAATTACCTGTCTTAGGAAATCTCGTGAATTTGGGCACGCAAATCCCTGTTGCACACATTCAGCCCACACTCTGTCCCAAAAAGTCTTACAGCGGTAAAAGAACGAGCATTCTTAAAAAGAAGACATGTTGCGGTTTCTAAATTAATATTACGTTGTTTCGAAATACCACCTTTTTAGAAAAGTGGAACATTCTATAAAAAGTGAAAATCGGGTTTACAAAATACACTGAAGCTTTTAATGTAGAGAAGGCCTGTTCATGCAAAAAAATAGGATGAATAAAGCAGCGCAGGTAGAATTATGTTTCGAAATCGTGTTTTTGTGAATTTTTAGAGATAAATTGTTCCATGTTAAGCGCAATGTTAAATACGGCCGTTACCAAACAGCCCAAAGTTTAATTATTTATTCCAACATGGGTTCACGAGAACTGCCTGTTGTTTCTTCTGTTTATACATTGTTTGAGGTACTTTGGACTAAGATAACCAGATTTTTGCTTGATTGTGCCGACTAAGACGTCATTGGAGTAAGATATTTCATAAGCTCACATTCGGACATGCTGGTGAGTGACTATTAAAATTAAATGCAATCGCAAACGTAAACGAAACATTTTTTGTAAATTAAAAGAAATTTCCTTTCGTCAAACTTCTATGTAATTATTTCGGGTGTTCGATTACGACAATGTTCAGATCTTTTTTGAAATAGTGGTGAACACTTTAAAATTTTCAGCGTTTTCAGTAGATTGTTTATGAACGCAGATTTAATTCTACTTGATTGTCAAAACCCTCAAAATAAGATATGTATTAAAAGCATTTACCAAAATAGTGAGTTTTCGGACATACTTTCTATTGCAACTGTCTGATTAGGCTTACGCAAACATGTCAAGTCATTGCCGAGAAAAATGAACGTCCACAACAAAAGTCGCAAATTAATATGCCTAAGATCAATTAACAAATTTTCCATAATGTTGCCTTTTTAAAAGGCGCCGTAATTGGGTATTTCTACGTCGAATATCTGCGTACTATACCATTTTCGAAGGTTAGGCCAAGGTAAAAAATGGGAAAAATTGACGGGTTTTTGACTTCCTTCAAAAACTGGGATAATCTTTCTGCTGAAAATAAAAGAACTCACTTTCTGTGTATACTGGAGCGGTTTTTGTTATATTTCTTGTCTTTAGCCGCCGTCCTAAGATTGCAAATGCTAGAATTTTGTGAAAACTGGTAATCTTCTGCTTGCTCCGTTTCAAGTTTACGTATTCTTTTGTGGTCAATTCTAGGATAAAATTGTTTGGTCTGTCGGCGTCTGGCGGATTTTCATGTATACGCCTTTTTTACGGTCACGATTGTTGGTGTGATAAAGCAAAATACAGCCACACAAGTTTATTATTTAATTTTATGGCACAAAATCTAGCAGATTTCAGAAACGTATTTTTTCTAACCCGAATCCATCCACCTTTTCCCGAAAACAATGCAAGTTCTCGTACTTACATTAACCCGATTTTCACGAATGCAAAAGACAAATTTCCCCTTCTCTGACAGTTAGAACTTTTCTGGCCTATATTTATGGTCATTTATGGTAAAACGCCTTCGAACAAAAGATTTTGATCAGTGGCGTTTAATGACGTAGGAAAGCCCTCGGGTATGAAGAAACGTTGGATTTTGCCCAATTCTGCCCATGGTTTCCTTCAATAAACTGATTTGAACTAATTTATTGTTAGTTACTAGGTTTTGCGCCTCAAATCAGTTCAATAAACAAAAATAACGACTTCAGCTGCGTGTTAACCTGCCCCCTCGATTTAGACAATCTACTGTTTCGTAGAAACTTGAAGGTAGACATCCCAAGAAATGTAATTTCAAGGAAATGCGTCCTTTGGGAAAATGAGGCAGGAGGACTTGGTTTTCGTGTTGTTAGTATGTTGAATATAAAGCAGGAAACTCGAAATTGTTCCCTCTATTATCCTGATCTATGGATGCGTCGCTTAGCTTGCTTCATACAACTGTCATCTCAAATACCCTCTTTCGGTATTATTATTCAGGCTGGTATTATCTAACACAAAAGACTCTGTCTTGACACCGGACTCAGATAAGGGATGGAGGAGGGAGTGCGGCAGATGCTGCGTAAGTCGCCGTCCCTGTGCCTCCCCCCTCCCCTGTTGTGGGGACATACGATGAGTGTTGTCGGCAACGACGCTTGAACTTCCATCTAACACAGATAAGAACCGAAAGGGCGTAGAAGAAGACTGTGTTTAAGAACGAGTATGGGGAGTGTGTTTAGTACCGTCGGCTTATTTAGGAAAGCTATGATGCTGTTCTGTGCCCAGGTAGTCTGTTGGGACCATTTTTCGTACACATCACTGCGGACACCAAGGCTGTTCAGATTTCCGGTAGACTTACCTCTCAGATTTTAATTTAATACTGGTCATATTTTTACCGCTTAATCTGAACATATCTTCTCGGGCAACGATTGTCCAAGTGGATGCCCATCATTTACCCCCATTTGCTTGGTTTTACGCTGTTCAAGAGATCATATCCTATACCCTCCATGACGTGGAGTCCGACTCACCTTGGTCATAAAACAGTACATGCGTGGCATGCGTTGACAAATTGTTTAGCATTGGTTGCTGAAGGCCTACCAATCGCTGACAGAACTCACTCGTTCCTCCTCCCTCCCCTCTCTGGGCTTACTCTCGAGCCCCGCCAGCAGCTGCACAGCGGCTAGTAATATAGGCAGATGAACACTGGCAATAAAGCCAAGCGAGACTGGAATTGCCATTTCTGGTTCATTAGCCGTCAT